TAAAAAATGACATTATTATAATTATTATTTTGCTACTCTATAATGATCATTATCTGTGTATCATGTATATCTTATGTTACTTTTATTTATTAATAAAAACTTATTTTAATGGTTACCTAAATACATATTCGAAGAATAACCAAAGCAAGTCTTCATGCTTTTTGGATTGTTGATGTCAAATAAATAAATCTGTTCGCCACCCATGTTAACAAGAAGCTCATTTCCGTCAGCACTGAAGGTTAAATATGTAGTAGTAAGACACCTGTTACCTTCACGTTGTCGAGAATGCAGATGGCCTGCTCAATATCAAACATTAACAGTCTTTGTTAGAGTGATCATATAATATGTAACAAAAGAGGAAGATAAGGGTAAAGGAGTCGCGTACGCTATTCCTGATCGTACGAACGAACCCGCGATAAAATACTGTGCGCAACCCAATGGTACATTTTCATCTGGATCACCTCTAGCAGCTCGACGCCGCATACGTACAATTCCCCTTGTCATATGACTATGTGGAGAAGACATAATAGGCACCTATTATTTAAAAAAATATGAAAAATTAATGTTACATTTAACATTGTAAGAATACACAAAAATTCTCACATCAGAAATTTATGTTAATACTTATTTTAAACATGTTATAACTTAAGAATAAAATAGTTGAAACCATACTTTTATGTACAAATATTTCTATTTTCATAATTACCTGAGAAAGCTTAATCATTCTACGATCGTACATTCGTATATAAGCATCATTGGCTCCAACAGCTATTAATTCAGGTTTTTTGGGATTCACAGAAATACACTTGCCTTCTGCACATCGACCCATGTGATTAACAAGATTTACTAATACACTATTACATTCATTGGTTTTGCAATTATGAGGAGCACGAATATCATACTGTAAAATGAGACCATCTTCAGCAGCACTCCAAAAAAGAAAAGGTACGGTAGTTGCAGTAGCGATACGTTTTACACGGCCTATATGACAATTACAGGAAAATATTGGTTCAAAAAGTGTAAGATCACGGACTCGTACTTTCCCGTCCGCAGCACCCGATACCAGTATTCTATCATTTGACTTTGGCATAAACTAAAAACAAATGTAAAAAGAGATTTAGTGTTTTCTCGTTATAGATAATAAGACATTGTTATAAATTCAGAAAATTTGAACATCTACAATGTTTACAATTTTATAGGCTAAAATTTGAATAAATAACTTGTTACTAACATACCACATATTAAATATTAAATTACCTTGACAGAAAATATATTTCCATGATGACGTGTATGAAGTACTAATTTTTTTTCATATTTAAATGGATCCCAGAGTATAATGTTCATATCATCAGATGCTGAAGCAAGAATTCTAAAAATATATGTTCATTTATACTTCATTTTTTAATTCTATGTAAAAATATTTATCTCTATTATCAGTATCTCTATAGATAGCATATCTTATACCATAATTAAATTATTACAATTTTGTTTATTTACTTAACAGATCACTTAATCAATACTCACTGGCCACTTTCATTCCATTCTAAACAATTAACACATCCTGTATGACCAACCAATTCTTTCTCAAGTCCTAGTCGATTTATCAAATTTTCTGTGACATGTAACTTCTGAGAAACTGCATATGCCATAGAATCCTAAGTGAAACCATTTAAACAAAACTAAGCAACAATTAATTTTCACTAAATATTAATACTTAATAAGATAATGTAATTTATATTTTAATATACATTATAT